CCAGTGGAATAGGAGTGTAACTGTCTACAGAACGTTATCGTATAATCCGTTAGCCTCTCATGAATCAGAAATGTCACCCACGGGCTCATGGACTCGAACACTTGGTCCCTAGATAGTGGTGTTGTGTTGGGAAGTTGTGCAACCTTTAGGGTATGGAACCTAATTGGTAGCAATTATTCACTAACGGTGGACTTTTGAGGGCTATACTCACTCCTGGTTCTTGGCCATGCCCTCTATGTCCTGGTTGACTGCACTTGGACAAGCATCAGCTGTGTGCTCCTATCAGTACGGATGGGGTCACTTCAGCCTCAATGTCTCCTCCACGTCTTCCTTGAACTGTCTAATCAGGGGTTTTCATCAGTCAAGAGGGAGGTAACCAATGCAGACATCACAAGCAGAGATGGGCTGGAGTGGGGTGGGGTCGGGGGGTATCCCAGGTGTGCAGCAGCTGTAAGTAAGCGCTACCCTATCCTCTAGTTTCTCAGCTTCTCTTCCCATCCCAACAGCCACCTCTGGCCAGAGAAGCCTGATTGGGTGGTATTTGCATCAGGGAGTATCAATCTCCTCTAATTGACGCTCATGCAACTATTTGTGGTGTTCCTGTGTGTGTGTGTGTGTGTGTGTGTGTGTGTGTGTGTGTGTGTGTGTGTAACACAAAGGTTTAAAATATGTCTTCCTTGGTCACTTGGCATCTTATTTTTTTGAGACAGAGTCTTTCATTGAACCTGGAACTCACCTATTAGGCCAGATTGCCTCGTCAGAGAGCCCACCTGTCTCTGCCCCCTGTCCCTGAGTGCTGGGCTTATAGATGTACATCACCATGATGGAATTTATTTTACAAGGGTGCTGGGGATTTGAACTCAGGTCTTGATGCTTGTATGGTAAATACTTTATCAACTGAGCCATCTCTCCAGTCCTTACAAAAATGTCTTGGAAGAACAGGAGAAGACATGCCCTGTGTTGAGGTGCTTGCGAGGGCGGTGATAGGGGTTGGCGGGTGGTGGTAGTGTTGGCAGCGATCTGATGGTGGTAGTTTCGATGATTGTGGTTTTGGAAGTTATTGTGAGCTATCAAAGAATTCCCCTTCCTCCATCCATACTTCTTTTCATCTTAGATCTTACTGACATTTCCCTGGGGGCCCTTTTGCGTCTTCTAGTCTGGAGTTCTGCATTAGGGAGTGCGCACCATGGTATATTTGGTGCCGGTGGGGTCAGAAGAGAGCATTGGATCACCTGTAACTGGAGTTATGGGTGGTTGTGAGCCACCACGTGTGTACTGGAAATCAAACCTGGGTCTTCTGCAAGATCAACACATATTCTTCAGTGCTGAGCAATCTCTCCTACCCATTTCCTGCTTTTACATAACGCTGGTGGAACAATGGGAGCAGGAAGGTAGGTCCTGCCTCCACCACTCTCATTACAGGAGTCTTATCCCAAGTGGGCAATGCATTTATGAACTGAAGGGATGCTCACTGGCATCTCTCATTCTTACCACATAGATATTCTCAAGTAGAGATGGAGCCCATGTCAATCAATGGACAGTGCTGAAAGGCTCCTGCAGTCTCAGTCACTGTGAAATCAGCTTCATTCACTACTGTTTACTTCTGGTTGTGGTGCAAGTTAGATTTGTCACATGGACAATACCCTGCAGTGGTTTTGAGGAAAGTGCTATGGGAGTAAGACAAAGTGTGGCCAAATGTGCTTAACAGGACACAAGTTGTGCAGCAGGGGAAACAGGGTACTCTAAGTAGGTGCAGGGGTTTGTTTGAAAAGCAGGGACTTCTAGAGACAAGAGGGGCTTTTGTTGGGCACAGGTAATTTCAGGGTTTTTCTTTGAGGCAGGGTTTGTTCATGGTGTCTAGGCTCGTCTCAAACTACTGGGCTCAATCGTTCCTCCTGTCTCAATCTCCTAAGTGGCTGAGACTTCAGACACACATCACTTCTCCAGGCCAGGGCATTTCAACAGCATCAGGGGCTTGTAGAGAAAAGCAGGGCTTCGCAGGGAGGTGTTAAGACACCAGAGAGAGGCATGGCTTTGAAGGAGAAGTGGATCTCGTGAGAAGCAGCACTCCTGGAAAGCAGAACTTCTAGAAAGCACAGGAGTTTGGAGCAGGGGACAGCTTGCTAGGAGGAACCAAGGCTTCCTAAGGAGCAGGCAAGGTTTGGAGAAACGAGCAGAGCTTTAAGGATAGGCCTAGGCCGTGTTAGTGAACACGGCTTCCTTGGAGGATCCAGGCCAAGGGTGTGATTAGGGTTTCCTAGGAGGAACCAGGCCACACAGGAGGTCTGGGACTTTGTAGGCTATGTGCAAAGTCAGCTGGCGATTAGGAGAAAGAGATATACAAGAAGGATTGGAGCCATATGGAGCAAAGCTTTTCATATAAGCTTTGAAAAAGGAACAGCAGCTTCATTAAGGGAGTGGGGACCTGTGAGTAGATACAGTATAACCTTGCAATGGACAGTCTTATAAAATGCAATCTAAAACTCCAGGAAACCCCACAGGTGAGGCCTGCCCCCCCCCCCCCCCCGCCCCCAATAGACTTCTCACAATCCCGGTTGTATTTGCATACACGATTAAATAAGTGCACATGCACTTACTTTCTGGCTTTTATCTTTTCTCTAAGTTGCAACACGACTGCAGGAAACACAAATAAGAAAGCTTCTCTTCCCAGGTCTGGCCTCCAAATGATGAACAAGCTCACCTCCACTTACCATCGTCTCCTGGTTTTCTCCTGAAGAGGCAGCAGTGGACTTCAGATCCCAGTAAGTTAAGCTCCACCAGGAGCAGGGCTTCTCAGGAGGGGCAGTGTGAGGAGCAGGGCTCAGTGTTGAGGACTGTGCTTGCTATGGAGGAGCTACTTCCAGAGGAGGAGTAGGGCTTCATGAAAGCAAAGTCTGGGGGGTCGGGGATGGAGGCAGCAGGGACTCCACTTCTCCAGGAGCAGGGTTGCCAATGACAGGGTTTCCTGGGTGGCACAGAGCTTCCTGAGGAGGAACAGAGTTCAGAGAGAAAAGCAGGGCTTTGTAGGAGGGCTATGCGGTTTTGTGAGCAGACAGGGCATCAGAAAGAAGAGCCTATCTTGTAGGGCACAGGCTTGTAGCATCAGCAGTTTGTTCCACAGGGGTGCAGGCTAAGAGGGCTGGCATCTCCAAGGAGGGACTGGCTTTGGAGAAGCAGGGTACTGATGATTCAAGCTTTGAGGGAAGGTTGGGGCTTGTTAAGGAGGGTAGGGGGTTCACATAGTGAGCAGGTAAGGAGTGGGGTTGTGTTACATGGAACATGCCTCCACGGGAAGCTCTTGTGGCTTCAGAGGAGCAAGGCCAAACGGTTATCACCGGGCTTTGAGGGTAGACGGGAGCAGTGAGAGGGATGCTGTACTGGCTAGGGCTTGGAAGAGGCCTTGTTAAAGAGGTACAGGGAACTTACTGAAGACAGCTCTAGAAGGTGAGGACCTGGGAGCGGGTAGCTTAAATGAGTAGGGCTGTGTAGGAGCAACAGGTTCATAAGGAGATCTTGAGGTTGGAAGAAACAGGACTTTAAGAGGAGGAAGCCTGAGTTGCCTGTAAGAGCAGAGCCTTATAGAGAGAGTGGGTCTTCACAATGAGGGTAGTTTGAAAGGACAGGATAGTTTCTTTCATTGTGTCACAGCCTACTTAGCCTTGTTGGGCATGATTCCCCATCTGGTCTCTAGGATAGCTACTCTGGCACCAAACTCCACAGCAGGAGTTTGAATGCTAAGGATTCTTTGACTTGACTTCCAGAAAAATATCATCTGCAAATTCCCAGATACATAAGAAACGAACTCCCCAGGTTCAGCCCAATCACACGACCCTCCATATCCTTCTACACTACAGACAATAGCTAAGCCTGTGTTGACAAAACCACATAGATGTCCCAAGCAAACTGTGACCCCCTCTGTCAAATGCAAGTGCAGAAAGTAATCATTGGTTTATGTTAAATGTGTTTTCCTGCTTGGGGCATGGCTTTACCAGGTTCTCCCAGCAGGCTAACTTCTGGTCAATGACATGTAAGGAGGGTGAAGTGTGACATAGTCCATGTATTCCCTCCCTGTGCAGGGTCCTTCTTGTTCTTCTCCATCTTGAGCATCCCTGGTCAAAGTGGAGAGGTTGAATCCAATCACATTGCATCTTATTGAGGGCCTGGGCTTTATTGCTACCTTCATGATTCACTAACGTACCACTGGAGCATAGGGAAGAGCCTTCCCTCCTTTCTCTAAAGCAAGTGGCATGCAGGGTGCAATGAAACACAGCAAAAGGTTGACCTCAAAGCCTCTGGGGCCAAGATGGCATAGACCTAAATCTTCTTGCTTCTTGAACTCTGGCAAGTGAGCACAAATCCCATGTGCCCGAGTTTCTTTCCTTGGATAGTGAGGCTACTAACAGAACTTATCTTAGAGGGCTGCTATCAGAGCTAAATGATCTAATACACCTAAGAGACTTAAGAGTGTCTTAATGTCCATTGTCATTGCTGTCATCCTTATTGTACATTTTTGTAAACCTTGCTGTCTCCAGACATAGAAGGGTTGAAATTAGGTATAATCCCTAAATACAAGTCAAGCTTGTGTCAAAAGTTAAGACTTTGATCTATAATTACTTTTTCTCAAGACTCCCTGGGTTTGAATAATTTGGTTTGTGTGTGTGTAGACACCAGAAGTATTAGTTAAGGGACAGACACATCTTTGGAAAAGCTCCTTAACACTCTTATTTATAATCTCAAGTACTCAATAAATCTCAAAAAAATTGCTATGGAAGCCAGGTGTTGGTGGCGCACACCTTTAGTCCCAGCACTCAGGAGGCAGAGGCAGGTGGATCTCTGTGAGTTTGAGACCAGCCTGGTCTACAAGAGCTAGTTCCAGGACAGCCTCCAAAGCCACAGAGAAACCTTGTCTCAAAAAACCAAAAAAAAAAAATGTTATGGAACTACTTAAAGGAACATTTTTTAACAGTCTATACCAAGTAACACTAAACAGGCAAACAATAAATATGCAATCAAAAATTTAATAACAAAGATACTATTTTCAACATGGTCAAATATACATGGCTAAGCCCCGAATTAAAAAAGGAAACATATCCAGCTCAATAGTACAGTCATACAGTTTTATACAGAACATTCCATAGATCAACAGAAAATACATGAGCACAAAAATAAAAAATATTTAAAGACAATCTCTAAGCAGCATTTTCTTTCTGCAAAACATAGACCTTGTACTGATTAAATATCTACAAGTGCTTTTTCCTTTACAAAAATACATAGATTCTTAATAGATTAAGTCATTAACAATGACTTGGTCATTCTTTCACTTCAATTTGAATGATTCATAAGCTAAATCTTACAACCACAAAAAGGTTTTTATTTGTATTAAGATGTTACCACTTTTGACAAAAAAGCTTAAAATAGTTACTATTTCAAAATAAAATTAGCAACATAACTTTACAATATATTCTGTGCTAGATTTACTGTGAGGGCTAGTCTAAGAAATGATCGCTGTTGAGTTACCAGACACAGCAAAGTGAAGGTACACATACCCCTCCCGCCCCCTGACGCTCTTGTCCTGGACCACAGCTTCATAAGGACACTTAGGCCCCACACTCATTCTGAAAAAGACTGCAAAAGAAAACTGGCCGTCAACAGTGCCAGGGTGACCTCCAAACATGCACATGTGTAGAAAGAGCCACTCCTGGTCCCTTGTCAATACACTAGACTGTGTAGAGATGCTCCCAGAATGGTTAATCTTCATTTGTGCTGCAGTTGGTTTTCTATTAAGTGTTACAAGACCAAAGAAAACTAGGCCTAGTATTTAACATATGATACATCTGATTCTAGATTCAAAGACAATTAAGATGAAAACACATTTCTGTAAAGCTTCCATCTTGCATCATGGGAAAGTGGCCTGAGGATAAACACATCAGCATGAGAATTTAAAGCAAGTAGTTTGAAAAGTTTAATTCTTACCATTTTCTGAAGGCCCAAACATTTTAATTCTACTAGAAAATATGATGGTGTAAATTACTTGTGAAAATCATATTCCAGGAAGAGAAGCACTTTCAAATGACCCAAGAAATACTACAGCTTAACACAATGAAATCCCCCACTGTCTAAGGACTTCTGATGTATTTTATTTTAATCTCAAGATTTTGATCAGAACACACCGAGCCAAGTCTAACAAGTAAATCCAAACTAGTGGTGATTCCAAGAGCTTCTAAGTCTTTAGTGAATCTGACACTGTTCAGTTTCTCACGAAGCAGACCTAGCAGACACGCTGTGCCCCTTATTTCTCTCCAGAGGGTGTACCTACTGAAAACAATGAAGCAGACCTAGCAGACATGCTGTGTCCCTTACTGGTTACATACATTCAGGATTTACATAGTAAAAACAATGCTAACAGCATTTCAAATTTTTATGGTTATAATCCAAAAAGAAATTTTGGCAAATTCATATCGATATTTTGATATAAATTATCTATTTCTAGAGAATTCCTCATCCAATCAGAGGAATGGATGAGGGATCCGGCTCAGTTGCACAGTGCTTGTAAAGTAAACTACACGGGACTATGGGCCTTTTCATCCGCTCTGCGGATGGTTTACATCTGGCAGATTTTACCCTAGAGGTGGTACAGGGAAAGAGTGGCAGAGTAGGGCATTTTTCTGAGCTCCATTTTGTCAAAATTTGGCCACAATAAAGTGGCTGCTGAGAAAGGGTCACTTTTAAAGAAAAAAAGTCACAGGTTCTTGTGGAATTTTGCTTTTGAAAATAGCAAAAGCATTTCTGTAAATCCAGTAGAATGTGCTGTGTTGTACACAAGCAGGCCTGCCACACCTTTACTGAAGCCCATCTTCAATGAAACTTCCTATTTTACTAAGAACCCAGGAGCTAATATGGACAACTTCCTTCATACCACCTCCATGGAATGAAAGGTTTCTTAAAATGTAAGATCTCAACTTTCTTTTATAAGTTTGTATTTATCCAACTTTTTATGGGGAAGATATTTGTTTTACTTCTTTCTCATATTTGAGGATTTTCTAAGATCTACCAGATGGTGCTGGAAGAAAAAGTGAACATATTTGAAGGGAAATATGCTGACTGCAGCAATAAAGACTTCTGACTCACCCCATCAAGAAATCTCACTGTGGTGACTTCATTGGCAATGTTTTAGTAAGCAATCAAGGTTGCTACCTATTTACAGTCACATCACAGTGTAACAGTTTCCATCCTCTGAACTGCACAAACTGTCTCTAACATTGTTATTAACAATATATTGTCTTTGGTGATACCTCTATTCTTACAACTCCTTTAAAAGACTACTGTAGTTTGTTAATTGCCCATTTAGAAATGAATCCACTTATGAGACGGGTACAGATAACTGGAGACTTATGCAGGAAACCTAAAACAGAAATGCACTTTAGCAATGAGGCACTTTCTTTTAAATAGTCAGTAAAGCTTAACAGTTCACAATATTATATAACTCACTGGTTTTCTTAAGGACTCGTTCAAATGAACCTCAGTGGTCACTGTTTGTACAATGTGACAGATGAGTATGAGGCAGAAGCTTAGCAAGTAAAGAATATTTAAAAGTTTTCAAAGAACATTATTGTAGTTAATCAAACCTCAGACTTAATATAATCTCCCCAATGAGCCTTTTAGTTTATTTTTTAAGCTTGAGAAAAGGGCATTTTCATTTCTCTATTAGCTGATGTGATCACTGTAATTTCAAGTGACTCTTACAGACCACAGGCATTCTTTATTATCCAAGATTCCTTGGTCCCTTTATGTCTGATTTCTAAGGCAGGTAAAACAGGTAATAAAATCTTTTCTGTAGTAAAGTTCCTTAGTTTATTGCTTAAGGAACAACAGGTTGAAGAATAACGTTCATTTGTTCTTGATAGTATGGACTCAGAGAGTTATTCCTGAAGATTATTTAGACACAGGGGGGCTTTGTTAAGCAACCCTGTTCATGTAAAGCTGGCCACAAACAGTGTCTACTCACATTTCCTACATCGGGTTCCTCACAAGGGCAACTCAGTGGGAATTTGGAACATGTAACACCAGACAAGAAAGTGGTCCACCTGGCTGATATAGCAGAGGGGGCTGCTGAAAAGGCCTGCTTCCACTGGCAACATATCACTCGTGTTCCCAAAGGGCATCAGCCATCCTTAATGGTATGTTTTGGCACACAGAATATTGCATCGCAGTGAAAATGTCAATGCATAACATTAAGTAAAGGACTTTTTATAAAACTTCTTTCTGTTTCATAACCATTTCCTATGTATCCCTTGGAAAACAGTCATATGAACAGGCAACAAGCAAAATTTAAGGAGACCTTGTATATATAGAATTCACCTCTGGCCCTAAGTCTTGGTTGGGGAGCCAAATAGCCACGTCTCAGTGTGTGGCTTTCTGAACTCATTTTTTACTTGTTAATTAAAATTAACCTTCATATTTAAAATACACTTACCTAAATATGACATTGTAGTATCTTTAAAATTTTCTTAGGGATAACTAGGAACTAGGTTTTACAAAACATCAAAATAATTTCTGTAGTTAGTAAATTTAGTTTTTGGTCAAGTATAATGGTCTTCTTCTAAGCTTCCGAGTAAATCAACTGCCTTGTAAATCCTACTCATGAGTTCTTCCAGAAACAACCAATCTAATAAGGTAAGTTAAAGCATTGCTGTGGCCGTCTAATACAGCAAACTTTAATACACTTTTTACTTGAAAACTACCCATAAACTTTCAGCCATTTATATGATGAACTATACCGAGACTGAGCTGTACTTGGTCTATTTCTTAGAGCTGTATTTTTTTTTATCTCTATGAAGCACTCTGGACTTCAGGAAGCATTAGCCTGTGAAGCATTTTACTAGAAAACGTAGAGCACATGTGTTCAGAGTCTAAAAACCAAGTGTGGAACACACTCGGTACTCTTACCAGATTTCTTAAACAAGTAATTTTTCCTAATTTTCCCTACTTCTCAGAAGTTAGCTTGTTTGTTTCAAAGCAACCAATAGATGTACTCCACACTTTTCTTTTTCAACTATTTTACAAGACCCAAGATGTTTTTCATATGATAAGCTAACAGAGGACCCTGATTTACAGGCTAATTTCAAAATGAATGGAAGACTTAACCAAACTGTTAACATGAAGGACATCACCAATGTTTTGACTTCTGATACACTCACCTTTAACTCACAGTTAAAACAATAATCACACTTCCCTGTTTACTAAAGTATCTAAAATAAAATATCCCCAAACCACTAATTTGTTAGAATATTTATCTACTACTTGGCATTTCTTTCATTTTGTGCGTATGGTTTGGATATGTGATATGCAACTAACAATCTGGATCAGTAACTTGGGATTTTGGAAGTCCATGAACGAGTGAATGTTATCTAAGATCTTCTACTTAAAACCATCATACATAACCTCTGCATGCCACAACACATGACTAAGGCCTGTTCAAGAAACAGTGCTTTCATAAAATGGCATTAACAGTGCCATGATGCACACACAACATGGGCTAGACAATGGAGATTTGTAAAGCAACACCCACTTGCCCTAAGACAGTAACAAACGTTAACATACTCAAACATTAATTTTATTAGAAGTCAGTGTGATCAGCTGCCAACATTATGAACTTCAGTTGTTCAAGTCATGTATGTTTTCTAAGTGAAGGGCTAACACACCTTCCTGTGCAATGGTGGAGACGACCCAGACGTTCAGGATATCGCCAATTGTAATGTGCTCTGGTCAAAAGATAACTGGAATTCTTCACAAAAGGACTTGCACACTCAAGAATGAGCTGGCATATTGGGGTTTTTTTTGGCTGTTTATTCTTTTTTACATAAAAGTTTACCAAGAATAGAACAGTGGCTCAGAAACCACTTTTCTAAATATACTCTTATACAAAATAATTTCAAGATATAATTATACTAGGTTCTTGTACAGTACTCTATTTTAACAAGAATAAAAGTATTAAGTATGTGAAAACCGCAACACCACAAGGATTGAGCCATTTTACTAGTGTAATTAACATTAGAACAATCTTGCAACAGGCAAGCAAAATATTGAGAAAGCAGAGTCACGGCTGCACACCTAAGTGACTTCAGCCGTGCTTTGCACACTGTGAGACGAAACGAGTATCTTATGTAGATGGTCAGTAGCAGAAGGGCACTTGGATTGCTCCTAGTAGAAACAACATGGAGAAAACTGACAATTTAGAGACAGACGATGGCCTTATGTGCATGCTGAAAATCAGATTGTGTCTCTCCTGTCCACACACTGTGCAATCTGCCGAGGAGTAAACAAACAGTGCAGAGTTCGTTCAGTGCAGTCTGGGCCCCTTGTCCTACCCAAAATCAATTCTTGGTCGATACTGCAATACCATGGGGTACGACTATAAAAGAGAAAAGTATGAGTAAGACTGTTATTTACATAAAAGCAATCGTTTATACAGAAAAGCTTTGAAGAATTGGGGATTACAGTTTATATTTCCTGATAACAGTGATTACAAAAGTTAAAATTTCAGTTGTCATTTAAGATTCAAGTTACTATCAGTACCTCTCCCTCTCCTCCCCTCTCTATAGAGGGCTCGTGGAGGACCACAAGCTGCATCCCACCAGCAACTCTATGGGTTGAGCATTTCAGCCCTGGGTTCTCCCAGGGCTGCTGCTGGTGAAAACTCACCGAACCACACAAGAATAAGAGACCCTATTCTGTGAATGGGTGAAACTGGAATTTCCACAGTACTGTTCATACATTTGATATCCCTTTCTTTAGTATTTTTAAATTAATTTTTATTTAAATTAAAAATCTTATTTTACATACCAATCCCAGTTCCCTCTCCCACTTCCCATGCCCTCCACCATCTCCCATCCCACTCTCTATCCACTCCTCAGGGAGGGTGAGACCTACCATGGGGGATCATCAAAGTCTATCCCATCATTTGGGGCAGGACCTAGACCTGTATCTAGGCTGAGAGTATCCCTCCACAGGGAACAGGCTCCCAAAGCCCATTCGTGCACTAGGGAGTAATACTGGTTCCACTGCCAGTGGCCCCATAGACTGCCCAAGCCCCACAACTGACATCCAGGTTCAGGGGGCCTGGTTCGGTCTTGTGCTGGTTCTCCAGTTGTCAGTCTAGAGTCCATGAGTTCCCACTTGCTCAGGTCAGCTGTTTCTGTGGGTTTCCACAGCATGGTCTTGACCCTTTTGCTCATCACTCTGCCCTCTCTACACCTGGATTCCAGAAGTTTTGCTCAGTGCTTAGCTGTGAATCTCTGCGTCTTCTTCCATCAGCTACTGGGTGAAGGCTCCATGATGGCATTTAAGGCAGTCATCAATCTCATTATAGGGGAAGGGCATTTAAGGTAGCCTCTCCACTACTGCTTCGGTTCCTAGTTGGGATCATCCTTATGGATTCCTCAGTACCAGATTTCTCGTTAAGCCCATAATGGCTCCCTCTATTAAGGTATCTCTTTCCTTGCTCTCTTTCTCTGTCCTTCCCCCTTGCAGGCAAATGGATAGAACTAGAAGAAACCATGTTGAGTGAGGTAACCCAGTCACAGAAAAGTAAAACATGGTATGTACTCACTCATAAGTGGATATTAGACACAGAGTAAAGGATAACCAGCCTACAATCCATAAACCCAGAGAAGCCAGGAAACAAGGAGACCCTAAGAGAGACATACATGGATTCCCTGAGAAGGGGAAAGGGACAAGATCTCCTGAGTAAACCGGGAACATGGGGGACGGGAGAGGGGAAGGGGAAGGGAGGTAGGAGAAAAAAGAGGGGAGAAGGGGAGGGGGAGGAGGACATGAGCGATCAGGAAGGTTGAGTTGGGGGAAGAACAGAGGAGAGTAAGGAAAGAGGTACCTTTAGTATTTAAGATTTATTTTAAAATGGTCTTTAGAAGTATTGAAAAACATGTTCCTGTTACAAATAATGGTGAAAGTCTCCTTTCAATATGATTTAGTGTTCACAGCTACTGCACAGCATAAGTAAAGTAAAAGCTTTCACTGTCCTTGGTGTTGTTCTCTGTGGAAAGTCTCTGGCAGCCAGGTACCTTCCATACAGTTCTAGAGAGGAAGGGGCTTCCTGCAGATGGGGCAGAAGCCACACTCCCTTTCCATCTGCTTCACCTTCGCCCACCACAGAGAACCAAATCATAAGAAGCAGTCGGAGAGTCAATGATTTTCCTGTTCTAAATGCTGCAGGTTCCCACTTTAAGTGAGATTCAATGAGCTAACTACCAGAGAATCAAGGAAAGGCTGAGATGGTCACAACCAATGTTTTGCTATCTTAGGGTAGGTGGGTGCAAGGCCTTCAGTACAGAGAACTCTGTATTCTTTAATATAGCAAAGAGGCAGCTAGAGATTCCACAGTCCTGAGATGCCCTCTTAGCACTTACATGCTTGTCACAAACTTTGAGACTTGATGCTACTATGTCCTAACAACAGCCAGGAGAGGAGAGTGGGGAAGATACCAGAAGCCTGTTCTCAGCTGAAGGATAAAGTAGGTGCTACTTCTAATCTAATGGGCTAGCACAGAAGTCTCCGACTTGCAAGGTTCCAATGGTCTTAGCCTTATTCTTCTTTTTAATTTTGTTTACTTGTACTCTCTTTTAAGTTTCACTCTGGTCTTATAGAACCAGCTGACAACTAGGTTAGTTGAGCACAAAGTTCTCTATTTCCAAAGCCCCGTCAGATATTTGAGGCTACTGACACCGCCACTTTATCTGATTTTACTAAGCCTATACCCCAGGGCTGGAAGAATACCCCATGCATACTTACAATGCTCAACAGCTATTTGTTAAAGAGCCTTTCTGTCTCAGTCTGTGGAACCAATGCACTGGGTGACTCCTGTACTAGAGCTTATTCTGGAGCTCTATTCTCTCCTCATCCATGTGTAGGTCACTTGATTTGATGTCTAGCTTAATAATGCACTGTTGCATGCAGGCAGCAGTGATCATGATCATGTCACATTCATTACTTACCTGAAAATGTGACTGACCAGAAATACCCATTTCCTGATTCACATTAGTTTAACTTTGTTCAGTTAAATACAATCTTGTAAGGTATGCAGAGTTACATTTAACTTCATAATTTAACTTTGTGCAGAATCTGACATCTAAGATGCTATTTAAAGTCTTTGTGTGTGAAACAGAATTCTGGATATGTACTAGTAGGTCTTTGTTTTAAGGAAATATATAAAGATTGGAAAATTTTGTGATCATCTGTCCTTATATTTGGCTTATTTTTAACAGCTTTATTTTTTTTTAAACTAAGATGCATACAAGGAGACAAAGAGAAGACGGAAACTATGAAATATTAATTGATGCTCCCTTTAGGAAATGATTTTGGGAAAATTTAAATGTGAAATTTAATCTTTTTATAAGAGTGTTATCCACAATGAAGTGTTGAAGAAAAGGAGTGAGTGTGTGGGTACAGATTTGTCTTATTCCAATGTTCTTCAAGACTTAGCATCAGAGCTAAAGAGCAACTTTATCTCCCAGGAAACAGACATCAACATGAAGAGAGAAAAGCGGCAGTCTATGGATCACGGGTTATAGCTACAGGCAAGGTTATCGCTACGATTCATCACCCAACCATTTGGATTTTACAGGTTTCACTACATCAACTGAACTGCTCTGCTCACTCAGCCCTCTCCCCTTCTGCACAATGAGGACAGTTTCCTTCCTGGGTGGCTTTTGCCTTGCCTGTCTAGATGGTAAGTTAGGTTACTCCATTTCTAAAGAACTAGGACTTAAACAATATATATCAAAAAGATCATATTTCAGATTGCCATATCAGAGCACTAACAAAAGCCTGGGTCAAACTCTACATACCCTGCTCATGAAAACTTTTGATTAGTGATTTTACAAATATTCCTTTGAGACACAATGTAAACTAATTTGTCTTAACCCTGGAGCTGCAACACTGGAGTTTGGGAAAAGGGCAATGGGTTATTTTAAAGTAATACTATGACTCACCCATGAGATTAAGACTGAGCATGTTATCGCTGCACTTAATAATATAGTATTTATGCCTTATTATACTGCAAGACTCTTCTGTTTTCCATTTAAAAATATTTATTTTTAAACATAAATATCATATGTATGTGTGGGCATGTGCATATTAGTGAAGGTGTCTATGGAGCCTAGTGTGAGCCACCTGATGATCCAGGTGCATTCTGGAGCCACCTGATCCAGGTGGATTCTGGAGCCACCTATTCCAGGTAGGTTCTGGGAGCCACCTGATCCAGGTGGGTTCTGGAAGGCGGTTCCTGTTTTGAACCACTGATCCTCCGCAGCCCATCTCCAAATCTCTAAAATGTGTTTTTATTAGACGAGTCTTCCTTAGACACAAGTTTAGCTCCTTGTGTGTTATGAAGTGACCTCACACTCATTCCTCCCTGGTAGCCCAGAGCAGCAGTTAGGGCCCTGCAGCCAGGCCATAATTAGAGTTAGCCCTAGCTCCTATTTAGTCACTCAATAGGACAGATTAGAGATTTTTCAAGGGCTGAAATAAATATTATTAAAAATTCTTGATTCATAAGTATAGTTATCACACATAATTTCATTTTAAGTTCAGTAAAATGGTTAACTTGGGAGAACTAAAATAAATGGAAACTTGTTATTTAAGTTTGAAAAGACTTTAAAAATTGGTTTTACAAAGTGACATATGTGACTGAGAACTTGAGTTTGGGATGGGAGTGGTAAGCACAGGGCACTGGGATGGTCATATGTACCGTCATGAGTGCCTCTTACCTGATACAAAGTGCCATCCTGAGAGCAGACTTGCGAGGCTGAGCAGTTCAGACAGCGAAACTGCGGAGGAGATGAACTCATCAGATAAGAGGCATCCACAACGGGACACATTTAAAACGTGCTATTTAAAGTAGTTTACTGTCAAACATAAGTACCAACATGAGAAATTTAAATAAACACTGAGGGATGGTGTGGGGTTTTGGGAGAGGAAATATTTAATAACTTGGTGATTGGTAAATTTTAGTGTTAAGTAATTTTAGCATTTATCTATGAAGGGTTTTTGTTTGTTTGTTTTTAATACTCTAAACCTACCAAGATGGCATCCTATCCTTTTCATTTCATTTTCAAATGTTAGTTTCTGGGGAATCCTTATCTCCTAGCACAGAGAGTACCACCATCTTTCTCCTCTGAGTACACAGTGGGTACCATCTTTTTCCCACCTGCTCCTGAGATTAATCTCTCCTACGCCTCCTCTGCAGCTACTCTCATATCTCTGAGGGGACACAGAATTCCATTCAACCTCCGAGGGACCGATTCATTGACCTTTTCCTTTCATGCCACTCAGGTTAGATTCTTAACCCCCATGCCTGTTTTAACAGCATTGATGAGCTCCTCGAGTCCGATACTCATGTGTGCAGTCTTAATAGTTATGTAACTTATACTTTTAAGTTACGCACATATTTAACACTGTATACTCTTCCAAATGGAAAGAAATAAAATGTATAAATATCTGAAAAATTAAACAGAAAAATATATGTTTAAATTAATCAGGAAAAATTTAACTTCCCAATGTAGACTTCTAAAGGCTATACTTTAGAAGATTTTAAATGTCACCAAGATCTCTCTGGACGTTCGTCCTTTATTATGCACAGTGATCACCATCACGCTCTACACATAGCCTGAACTTCTGTCCTTTGATGACTTGGATGGGTCTGCAAGCTCTAACCTACCACATTTTGTCTGACTGTGCAAATTGCAAAAATCATTTAGTAAGAATACTAAGATACAAAGAAGTGATTTCATTATTTTTTCCCTATTAATCTCTTTAGTATCAGTTATGTTTTTTCCCCTAAACCTGCCAGAGATTGTAAGTCAAGCAATCAGAGACGGGCATGGCTGCTGGACTGACTGAGGCTGCAGAAGAGGTGGAAACTGCAAGAAGCATCTTGGAAAAAGCAGCTAGACTGAGGGAATGCAACCTACCCACAAGACAGTGAGCAAGAACATGGGTCTGATGGGGGATGTCCTTTTTTTTGTATGCTGTGAATATAGTTTCTCTTATTGGTTGATGAATATAAAAGCTGTTTTGGTCAATGTACAGTCAGCATGTAGCCAGGGAGGAAGTACAGGCAGGGCTACCAGACTAGGAGAATTCTGGGAAAAGGAACACAGAGTGAGTTGCTAGAGAGACGCCATGTAGAACACCTGGGAATTCTCTGGTAAGTCACGGCCACATGGAGATACAGATTATAGAAATGGGTTAACAATTAAGAGAGAGCTAGCCAATAAGTCATAGGTCAAACAGTTTATAGTTAGTATAAACCTCTGTGTTTTTATTTGGGACTAAATGGCTGCGGGACCAGGTGGGGCAGAAACTCTGTCAACACAGTCTGTGATGGAAGCTGGGGGTGAACAGACAGATGCTGACAGTAGCTCTCACGGAGTGGATGAGGATCATAATGCCGTTTGACAGAGACACTGGTAGTTTTCTACATTTGTTAGATTAGCCATTCTGCTAAATACTTTAGTGCATAATTCTTGCTAAGTTTTCCTCATGCAAGTACTGTCACAGGATCCCAAAAACTGAAGAAAAATTGGGATAAAAAGCTATTAGCATATATAGCAAAAAGTTGTGTTCAAAACATACAAGCAGTTCCTAGAAGTCAACAAGATGACAAACTACAAGGGCAATGAACTTGAATACCCACAAAGGTGTTACATTACTAACATGAGTGTCAATAAGTCAGAAAATGGGCCCTCTTGTATATTATGGGTATGACTATAACTTGTGAAAATTAGTCCATTGTAAACCTAGCAATATAGGCAATGGATATACTTGTTCATTTGCAAAAATACATGCCTTGGACTATATACAGCACTTTTTGCAATGTTAAAATGAAAATAAAACCCCAATGACCACCAAAATAGTTAATTAAATTATGCTAGTCACACAAACTGAATTGCACCAATATATTAAAAAGTAACTTGAAAATGTAATCACTTTCCTTAAGACATTTCAAATGAGAATAAAGTTGATAGCAATATATGTGATTCCATTTATGTCTCAGAAAACTGATAACCACTGGCATTGTGAAGAGAAATACTAGATCGATGGTAACATCAGGTTGCTGCATAACCCCCAACTGAGACATTAATCTCTAATTCCACACCCTCAATTTGTAGAAGCCACAGATGAAAAGAAACCTGGTCACAGATCATGACTCCCAAATGTTGCTCTAAAGATCAGAGATGTTCATACACTGAGTAGAGCTTTCTAGAAATGAGTCTCAGGCCTACCCCAAGCCTAGGGAGTAGAACTTTACTTTGTCATCATCCCTAGATAATTTGTATTTGCACTAAGTCTATTTATCCTACTAGTCAACAACACATCAAAACATCATTCGGCATAACAATCGTCAAGCAAAAATCCTGTTATGAATTATAAAATTTATAGCAGTTGTTTGACCACATCTTTGTTTAAATTTATAGGGAAAAGATATTTAAAAATAATCCATCATGATGGAGGCAAGGTCTAGAAGGGTCATCTTTTCTACAAGAGACTAAGCTTGAAGGGGACTTAAGCTGGGAAAAGGGGAGTCCTGCCACAGAAGCTGGTGCTCCGTTACTGCACAACTGGAAGGGAAACTCAGTCCCTGACACTTTTCCTGGAGGCACAGAAACAGGAGGGAGAGTGGTTGCAAATATGGAGTACCTTTGCCTGAGGCTAATGACTCAGATAGAGACTCAGTACTCCAGTGTGACAGGAATGGAAGCTACACACTGAGTCACTGACTGGGTGTAGAATCACAAGCAGACATACCACAACAATGACAAGAACGAAAAACTGAAAAGATGCCAAATACAGCTAAAGCAATCCAGAAACACAGCCCAGTGCCAATCACAAAACCATTCAAAAGCTCATCTGAGAGAATAGGTAAAACAATGCAACATGATTTTAAGGATTGAATTTTTGTCTCAACAGGTACAAATATATATCATAAAGCAATATTGAAAGCATAACTATTGGCCTTATATAAGACATGTTAGGGCTTTAAAGAAGATAGGCAACTGAAAGGTTTAGACAGGAGTTTTATAAAAGCTGCCTTAGACACAGTGCTGGTTCAGAATAATACTTTTCTTTTTTTTTTTTTTTAAAAAGAATGTCCAGAGCATACACAGATGTGTGTGTACGCATGTGCAGATAAAAGCAACATCTTCAAACAAGGATGGGCAGTTTGGATTGTTCAGTAAACTATATTTTTGGCTTAAAAATCTTCAGAATAAACTAGATTCTTAACCCTGTTGTGTGTAAATGAATCAATCTTAAGTGGACTAGAATGCTAATACAACGAAGTCCTAGAAGCAAGTAAGAAATGTAACAGAGCCGGGCATTGGTGGCATATGCCTTTAATCCCAGCACTCGGGAGGCAGAGGCAGGTGGATCTCTGTGAGTTCGAGGACAGCCTGGTCTACAAGAGCTAGTTCCAGGACAGCTCCAACCAAAGCCACAGAGAAAACCAGAGAAAACCTGTCTGAGAGAGAGAGAGAGAGAGAGAGAGAGAGAGAGAGAGAGAGGTAACAGTAACTATCAGAGCAGGAACAAGCTGATCTTGCCCAGGGCCATGCTAGTTAGCAATGTCAGTAGTAGTACTCAACTGGCAGACATCCTACTCTCCTGCTGTAAGGATGGGATGACCAATCTCAGAACTACAGACAAGGAATACTGGCAACAACCAGGGTCAGAAAAGAACAAGCCATCTCTCCAGGACCAATTTAAAAAACTTGAATAAAAATGTATCTAACTAAAAACCTGAAACCTCAGAAATGTGTGATGAGAAATGTAATTACACTGAGACTGATTTAGTTGGCAATGTTAGTAAAAAGCTTATACGAGTTAACCCTTTCATGCTCTGACATTAAAATAACTAACAATGCTGACTGAGCTTGACGGCCCAGGCTTCTAATGAGGTGGAGGCAGGAGAATATTAGTCTGAGGCCAGCCTGTGCTACGGTGAGCTCCAGGCCAGCTTGGACTAAATAGTAAAAATCTTCCTTCCTCCACCCCAGACACATACAAACGGACACCACAGGCAACTTTCAGGACAGCACTTGTGACAGACAGGTGAACTCTAGGAGAGGTGACCTTTGACCTGTAGGCTGGTCTGTTTACAATGATGAGTTCCAGCACTCACATGCTGAAATGCCCACTGAACTAGCAAAGAAAGACAAAATTACATTTACTGTAGTACTATTACTGTAGAATTAGAGTATCTGCTTCTAACAGTGCAGACTTACACTCTGCAGTGAACACCTCGAATCTGAAACACTTCAGGCTTAAAGATTACATGAAAGCAATGCGCTTGTAACCCTTAAAGCCCACACACAAGGCATATTTTATTTATGCAATACAAGTATTTTTTAAAAAAAATGAACCCTAAAGTAGTCTGATGAGTTCTTCAAGGACACACAACTAGCAAGTGACTGATACTAGAATGTAAGTTTTCCTTCCGGGTCTTGAGATATTTTTTGCCAGTAACTAGAGTACCGAGTCTCCAAGAGATTGTTATCCATGTGAAAGCCAGATAGAAAAACAGCAAAAATCCTGGTTTAAGAACTTAGGTGTTTCGGTATTATCGTATCACCCATTTTCTTCTGAAAAAGTAAACAAATATCTTAACCACCATATAGCACAAGGATTTTTTGAGGGGCTCTAACATCTCAACAGATGTCGCTTAAATGTGATGTCAGCATACCTGTGAAACACGGCAACCACCATTATTTGTAGATACTACATTTCCTGCTGTAGTTCGTAATTAACATTTTCATAAGGAAATGTAGTTAGGCCTGGTAGAGACACTATAATGCATGATATACTGTCCTATAGACTGTATCAGACTCTTGATGTCTTATGGGTATTAACTGCTGCAGCTTTCTAATCTATCTTAGGCACATCAGGAGAGTCTGGTAGCACTGCAATCATGCTCTGAATTCCCCCAGAAGGGCTTGGAACATAGTACAGAGTGGGTGCCTCACACTTCCCCAACATTCCTGGCTTAGGTACACTCACAGTTAACCTCAGCAAAAATACTTAAAACACAGAAAAAAAAATTTTTGGGGGGGTGGGGGGGGATTGATCTTAGGTTTTCTCCTGTGAACAATTTCTCCCTCATCACTGGGGCCCAGGGCACAATAATCTACTCCTGGCATCAGAACCCTGCACTAATTCACTTATCCATAAGCCTGACTTTATACTTCTAGTGACTATCTAATCCTATCTGTTCTCTCTATCACAGCCAACAATTCCCCTTTCTGACTGTTAGTGCTCTCAGGGCAGAACTGAGTCTATCTGACCCCACTTCACACACTCACATTTCTAGGAGACATCAAGATTTAAAAAGCATATGCTGCCTCTGCTCTCAGGCTAGCAAAATCCTGGATGCATTTATTACTGGACTTAAAAACTCACCTTCAAAAGATTTAACACAGACATTGATCTTGTGCTTGGGCCAATATTTAGGTGCTGGAGAATGAAGAGGAACTAGTTTCTTCTCTTTCCCAAACTAATTTCTTAAAGTTCCTAAATAATACTGTTGGATTTAAATTACATAACTACATATACACATAGGTAAATAGAAAAGCAATTTACATTTTCTCCTCTTAGTCGCCATCTTGTCATATAGATGAATTCCATAGTATGATCCTTCCCCATAATTTCACCATTGCACAGCACATCCAACTTTAAAAAGAATAATTAAAATATATCAGTCCAAAGAAAATGTGAATTTATACATTTTTATACATTTTCAAATTGTAAAAGATCTGACTAGTTATACCAACATAGAAGTACTAGTTTCAAAAGAACACTCAACTTTCATTCTCACAGAACGTCAATAGTTCAGATGTAACATGATTTATCATTTATCATATGATGTAAAACCGTATCTCAAGTTGATACACAGTTTATGAATGCAACACCAACCTCCTCCGGTTGTATTCTTTAACCCTGGGACCACTCTTACTCAATGAGAAAAGTGCAGCGTTTAATAAGAGAGCGGAAGATCGCACAAGTGTAGCAAGCTCATTCTAAATCCTCTGGAGTTGCCAGGTTTTTTTGGTTTTTCGAGACAGGGTTTCTCTGTATAGCTTTGGAGCCTATCCTGGCACTCGCTCTGGAGACCAGGCTGGCCTCGAACTCACAGAGATCCATCTGCCTCTGTCTCCTGAGTGCTGGGTTTAAAGGTGTGTGCTACCAATGCCCGGCGGGGAAGCAGTTTTATACCTTTCCTTAGTCTGGGGTTAGAGACAGGGCATTACAACGCTGGCACAATCTTCGTTCAGGGCTTTCGCCTCTGGTGTACTTGTGGGTCCTCTGCTCACCTTGTATGAAATGTCAAAGCGAACTGTACTTACAAGCTCCCCCACACCTTGTCTGAGGCTATAGGAAAACTCCCCTAAAAGCTTCGAAATGGCACAAGAACTTTGTGTGTGGTTCATTAATTCATCAAAGAATATATAATGAATGTTTATCAAAGATCCCTATAAATGTCTGTCCTCTAGTTTCCAGTAAAAGAAACAGGCTATAAGATTTTATTTCAGGTGTGGAGGGGGAAAATGAGTTTTAAATAAATGTCTATCTATCTATCTATACAAAGACTGAAATTTTGAGCTTGAAGCCTAACACAAAATATATTCCCAATGATACATGAACTAAGTAATTGATATTTTAATGATTTATGGTGATATATAAACTTTGGAATTTTTCACTTATGAACTCTTACAAGAACAAAGTAGAAACTCTTTATCTTGCCTGTAAAACAAATCCCTAAGCAAAGATATAAAGGTGCAATTACTAATCAGTACTAATCAGACAGGCTGCACCTAGTCATTAGCAACTTGAAGTACCCTGTCCCAATTAGCAATGCTGCCATGGAAAATTTAGACATTTCATTAAATCAAAGCCCTATATGCAGGGCAGCAAAATAATAGGAGACCAATCGATATCTTAAAAAAAGCCAAGGACAAGTTCTTTGATTAGGATAGATAAGGAATTGTTAAAAAAGAAAGATCATGGTCCATGGCAGAAGACAGAGAACAGTTTTCTTAACTCTAGTAACTTTCTGATGATAATTAACTCAGCAAACCAGACTTTAAAAAAATAAAACTATATACAATATTTTGCATGAAGAAAACAAAACAAACAATACAGTAAAAAATTCATTGTATATTTTTTCACTATAGATGCTATCTATAAAGTTGTTATCTTTTATGTTTACCAATGATTTATTCTTATTTTATGTGCATTGGTGTTTTACCTGCATGTATGTCTATTGAGTGTGTCAAATCACTTGGAGCTGGATTACAGACAGTTGTGAGCTGCCAAGTGGGTGCTGGGAATTGAACCTGGGTCCTCTGGAAGAGCAGCCAGTGCTCTTAACTGTTGGGTAATCTCTCCAGCCCCATATAGGGATTTTTTTTTTAAACCACACAATCAAACTAATAAAAAAATTAACCCAGAGCTACGAGAATGAGAAGGGAAGAAGAGGAAGGATGCAGAGGTCATGAGGGAGCAGAAAGGTTGAGTCAGGTGTAGATTAGAAGAAAGGACATGTGATAGGTAGGGTTTTAGTTGGGGGGGTGGTAGGGGAGGAAGGGAGGGAGAAGGGAACTGGGATTGTCATGTAAATCAATCTTGTTTTCAACATTTTTCAAAAATTTATTTTGTAACTTGAATGCCAATAAATATAATTTTCCTACTGTCAAAAAAACAAAAACAAAAACAAAAAACAGACTAGTCATCAGTCACGTGAAACATTGCCATCAGCTTCCATGTCAGAAGCTTCCTCAGATAAGACTCCTTCCTTTCAAGGACTGTGCTTAAATCCCTTGACACTTCAGTTCTCCTTTCAGAAAAGACTATCAGTCTCAGGAAATGCCACACATCTCAACAGTGTGCCTGTCCTTTGGCTGCTGTTCCGCTCACAACTGGACGATAGGGAACCTGCCCATACTTCACATCCATCTCCTGTTTGCTATGTGAGGTTTGTGCTTTGTTCTCCCTCTAGACTCAGGGGATATCACAGAAAAGGAGACAGGATGGAGAGATGGGGCATGACTTAGCCTCTGCACTAGCTATGGACTTCCTGCAGCTGTAGTGATCTACATAAGACCTGCACAGCTGGGCAGAGCATCACTTCATCAGAGATGGGAGAGGAGTCCATGAGGCCCATCCTACGCTGGGGAAAAACTGGCAATTAATGGCTGCCTGGGGAAGGGGTCATTTTCTTTGGTGGTGTGTCCAGTGTAAGTTGTCCTTGTTCCAGTAATAACCACTTACTCAGGCTCAGGCAAGAAACTCTTACTAACCTCAATGGACCACAAACAAAGAGAAGGCACAAAAGTAGGAGTAGAATGTACTGAAAAGGTTTCCAACCAGAGGAGGGGCTGAGGAGAGAGGGGAGTAGGTAAGGAAGCAAGTCAGAGTCACTATATAAATGCATAAAGCTGTTAAACAGTAAGACAAAAAAATTTAAAAAGTGACACATCTTAAAGCATGTTGACATTATAAAAAAGAAAACATTTAGCCAGGGAGTATCTGGAGTATCTTATGTAAGTTTTACAAATACCTTCTTTAGTCACAAATGCATTGATGTGATGTTCTTGGGATATATTGTTATAAAATATTACATAAATATTATAGTCTAAAAATTAATTTTTATATGGTATATATAATGAAAATAACCAGTTCCTACAAAAAATTTGGATATATTCTGATTTTACTTCTTTTCCTACAGATCAGAATCATCAAAACAGTCACAATTAGGTATTATTTTACTTACCTCATAAGAACTTGGAAGTTTTAGTTTTAAACTTAGAAACTTTTTAATAGTTCCTACAGTAACTCGTGTAGAACATCGAATGAATTTCTTCATGAGACCCTAAAGGAAACAAATGACAAATTAAACACTCTAATTTGTTTTTACTAAAACCTTAGGCATTCTCGGGCATATACTTAGGCATACATACACTTGTAATTCCAGCATTCAGAGGATTTTAAGGTGGGATTTGAGTTTGACTTCCACCTGGGCTGCAAGGGGAGAGTGTCTCATAAGACCACCCCACACCAAACTGTACCATACCAAAACCAAAGGCATGGTTTTCACTATATGCTTTAGTATTTTTAAAACGTAAAACAAAAAACCAAAAATTTTTAATTCTTTTAAGTAAAATGTTCCTAAACATTGCTTATTTACATGGCATTCTTTAACAATGTATCAGTGTGTGAATTAGCAAAATCTTGTCAAGTAGACAATCTGTTTTTCTCTAAGATTTTTTTAAATAAAGAAAATAGTTTAATAAAGAGGCTACAAAATGTCAACATTTTATTAAACGATGTTACTTAGTGACACTTGTTCAGCACAGTGCAGAATCTGGAAATAACTGCAGAGAGCAGACTTGGGAGGAGCTTCAAGAGTTAAGTCCACTGCATGCCTCAGCACCTGCCAGCTGTGCAGCGTGGGCTCTGGGTGGAGGAAGAGCATTCCCCAGGGAGGGGTTACTGCAGGTTACTATACATCACTAAGGTCTGTATGCCTTCATGCGTTTCTTGTTTTACATGGAGACAGCGGTTCTGACTCACTCTTTAAGCTTGAGCAGAGCCCCACCCTCCCACTGCTCCTAGTCATTAATAATTCAGAGATGTCAGAACAGTTAAAGGAACATTTTTAAGACAAGGCAAAAGAATGTTTCTATAATTCATAATTCAATAAAGCCCGACACAGATCTAATAAAATTCTAATCTGGAGTCTGTGAAAGTTGACTTGGAAATACTTAGAAAATAAGTAATAAGCACCTTCTCTAGAAATACTTTATAATGAAACCAAACTAAACGTGCTTTGTTCCCTGGTTTTCTACACCTGAGAACTACTGTATCTATGTCTAGAAAGTGCTGACACCGTAAGAGGCAATGACTGACAGGTGCTGGGCAGAAGTCAGGATGGTGCACAGGAGCTAGGAGTGGGGTTTCTTCTCACCATCTCCTTCCTGACATATGGAGAAGGGGAGCACTGTGCTACACCCCAGGGCTCACAGGAAACTGCAGGGGGTGGGGGAGGAGGTCCATGTCTAACCCTACCCTGCTCAGCTGTCTAGAAAGGATCAGTATCTTTGGAACATCTGCATATTTGAAGTAATACCACATGGAAGAACACTGTTTTGTTTCAAGAATATCATCTTCCCTCCCTATGGCACCAACACCCTTACTCTGTCCTGCTGTCCATCTCGAGTCATGAAGTGCAGAATTCAGAAATGTCCCTTCCGTCTAAGCTGTTTTCCCTGAGACCACAGTGTGAGTGTAGCGTCTGAAGTGCCCCAACTCAGCTCCTTCAGAAGCAGAAGTGGCTCAGCAGCTGTCAGAGGCTGATAAAATACAGATCCTGTCTTTCTTTGCTTTGGAAGAGTTAAAAGACTAAACACAAAATCTGCAGCAGTCCCTCCTGTGGGCTCCGAGGGGTCTGCAGTTCTACGACACAGCTTGACAATCCTTCAGTTTTGTGGAGCTTTACAAAAACAAAAGTTAGCTTTTTGTTTAAGCCCAAATTCTTTATCATGTTTTCTTCTTATTTTTTTTTAGTATTATGATTTACATCTCTACCAAGCAGAGTAATTAACAAGTGTGACTTTAACTTCTTAAATTGAAATGTAACACCATAAAGACATTATTTAAAATGAACAATTTAGTAGTTTTTATAGTTGTTCAACCATTACAATATCTAATTCAAATTTTTCCTTGTCCTCCAAAGAAATCCTTTACATATGCTCAGCTAGGAGTTACTTCCTAGTCCTGCTCCCACCCCACCTGACACCTAACTCAACTGTCTCAAGTGACAGGCCTTTCTTTTTAAACCACTTATATCATTATCACATCAGTGACTAAATAATCATTTGCTTACTATGCTTTGATATATCCTTTCCTGAAAGATGCTGATAGTTAAAAATGATTTTTTAAAATTTCCCAATACAAAGTACTGTTATTAGTAATACAACAGTAAATAAATTCAACTGAAAGATCTACTGATTTACAGAGATGAAGCAAAAGAAAATTATAAGCAGAAAACATGAACTTGTACATAAAACAAAATGCAGAAAAAAACCCTTAGTGACTGGTATGTGCTTGGACAAAGTGACAAAAATCTATGTAAGAACTAAAGTAGTGAACATTTATAATGAGAATGAAAGCTGCTCCCAATTAAAAAAAAAAAAAAAACAGGAAAAACTAAATAATGAAGACAGCGGTGAGTTTTAGTATCCCTTAGGAGGCGGTTGAATGGTCAGACACAGGGAAACATGATGAGAAATGAGGACCATGTAGTAGATAATAACTAAATTCTTCAAGAAGTTTATTAGTTCATAGGGGCCTTATAACACAACTTTACTTCAAAACCTATAATTGTATTAATAAAATATATTAGCCATGCATTGGAGGCTTACAGAATCTTAAATAAAAGTAGAAGATTGAGGAATATAATTTAGGGCTCAGCAGTAAGAGCACCAGCACTCTTCCAGAGGACCCAGGCTCAATTCCCAGCACCCACATGGCAGCTCACAACCACCTGTACTCCAGAGGACACCCTTTGATAGCTTTTGCTGGCACCAGGCATGCACAAGATGCAAGGCATACACAGAGGTAAAACATCTACAGATATAAAATACAACTAAATTTAAAAAAGAACATATAAAGATAATTAATAAAAAGGTCGGAGACACTGCTTGAATGAAATAACCACTCTTGAGTTGGCTGTTGCAATTTAAAAATTAGCCACTAGATGGTGGCATTGGCCCGGGATGGTTGGGGGTGGGATGCTAGGTGCCTGGAAAGCAATGTCTGGGTCATATTCCCAGTGTGGGACTGCAGAGAATGGCATTCAAGTGCATTACATTAACAAAAAACCTTGAAAGAAATCATTTTGAGGAGTTGGAAAAATCCATCAAAAATTAACAGAGAAATCTGTCCACTCACCTTTACTACATTGTCCCCTGACTGCCCATTATTTCGTAAACAATCTAGACAGATAGCAATTTGTGGGTCACTTCTATGGTAGTCCTTATCATCTTGGTTTTCATCACCTTCTTCATCTGCTTTACATTTGTCAACCTTTGAAATGTCATCTGTATAATTGAAGCAAAGCCCACGTAACCCAACGTTGAAAGTCAATCAACAATCCGGTACTCATGAAAGCAATAAACACCCTAAAATATTTCCTAACTGGTCTGAAGAAATGCTAATTGAAAATGTGAGTACTTTTTAAGATCTTCTAACATACTCAGCAATGGAATATTCCCCAAAGGCCATCAGAAACTTTACAGTGTAAGATTTCCAGGCATACTGGAAAAATCCAAATCAAAGATTTTGGATTCACTGTATTTTTGGTCATAAAAGACTGAAATTAGTGATTAGGCTACTTTAGAAGGCAAATAGGATAACAAATACTTCCAAATTCAGTAACAGATGTCCTCAAAATAAAAACCAAGTGATAACTTTCAAATTATATTCTAAATTCTTCAAATTACAAATTATTTATAAAATCAGCTATAGAAAAAATGAGATTTTTAAAATCATGCTTTGTAGCCACTTAACATGTTAAAATTCCACTAAGAAAATATGAATACTATACATAACATAAAGTATGCTTAAAATGTTACATGCATACAACTGCATTTATTGATGCATTATGGAATGCCTTGAACAGTGTTTCAGACACACATTGTGCTAGGCCTGAGGTACCAATAACACAATTAAAGGGCATGATGTCTGAACTGTCTCATGTGCTTGAGTGGTGGTGCTGTCTGAAAGGCTATGAACCCTTTAGGAGGGAGCCTTGCTGGAGAAGAGTGGGTCCTGAGGTCTAACCACTCAGCCGCACTTCCTAGTCTCTTCTTTATGAAAATGGGTTTAATGTGACTGGGAGCCTCCTGCTCTTGCTCCCACGCCTTGCTTGCCATGATGTACTTAACTCTCAGTCACAGACTAACCAACCTTTTCTTCTCTCCCCATCCCCTCCTGGTTGCTTCTTGTCAAGTATTTTGTCAAGGAAATGAGGAAGTAACAAATACCAGGAGTTACCATCTTCAGCATTATGGTGCCAGGGTACAGGAAAAGGCAAAAAACAAAACAAAACAAAAGGTGTGGGGGGGTGCCAAATATAAGATGGGGAAGTATGAAATATGAAATATGTGACCATGTAAGATTCAGGAAACCTTTTCAGATGAATTATATCTACCCAAGCTAAATATGAAAAATCAGCTAGCCCTACCAATGAGAGAATAGTCTTTGTTCAATATAGTAAAAGCCTTACACTGTACTTACGAAAGTGGGAAGATGGCTCTTTCTTTTTCCCATCCTTATTTACACAGAACCCATGTACAGACGCTGTGTTTCATGAACCAAACACCCAGCTCAATGAAAAGCCCCCCCCATTAAAGACCAAATCCAAAAGTATTTTGAAAAGGAGAAAATAGGAAAAGGGAGATGAAAATCATAAACCAGGATATAAAATAGGTCTATTTTGTGTATGACCCTCAAACACAAAAAAATCCTAGCTTAAACCTATTCTGTAATTCTGACAGCAATTCCATGTGCTTTTGTGTTAGTAGAAACTGGAATATTTAATTAATTTTGTATGATCTACTTTTTTAACATTAAGCTGTCTAAGTACATTGCACACAGGTAAAATAAGCTTTTGGTTAAGCCATTTCAGCATCTTCATTTTGTTGTTAGGTATAAAAACAGCCTCTTGCTGCCTTATTCTACTCATCAAAACTATTATCAAAGCTCCCCTGCTGAGGGATTAGTTCTACAGTTAACTATTAAAGCCATTATCCCCATTATAAATGAGAAAAAGAGAACATGCATTTCCTCGTCCATCTGAAATGGCACTGAATTTATGAAAGTTGATGAGAATTCAATGGCTTTATGAGGAAATCAAGGCCAGGACTACATTCACAAATGCACAGAGGCTACTGTGATGGTATTTAGGACATTCTGAATGAAGTCTTGTGTTGAAAAACACGAAGAATCATATTGCTCTGTAATTTAGATATCCCTTTGTATGGATACCATATACATACAAACAGCTCATTCTCAGTACAATAACATCTGTGTTGTGGAATATTATTTGAAGATGTGCTACATTTGGAACATTTGTTTAATGATGCAAAGATGTGTTGTATTCTTTTTTGTTGCATTTGTTTAACTCTGCAAAGCTGTGCTACTTTGCCTGTCTAAAACATCTGATTGGTCAATAGTGAGGCAGGAGAAAGGATAGGTGGGGCTGGCAGGCAGAGAGCAGAACAGAAGGAGAAAAAGAGCAAAGAGGAAGAAGGAACAAGAGAAGGGGAGGACATCAGGGGTCATCCACCCAGCTACACAGCAAGCCCAGCTTAGTAAGTACTGAAAGGTAGACAGAAATAGAGAAAGATAAAAGCCCAGAGGCAACAGGTAGACGGGGAATAATTTAAGAAAAGCTGGCTAGAAACAAGCCAAGCTAAGGGCAGGTAATAATTAAGTCTCCATGTGTGATTATTTGGGAGCTAGGTGGTGGGTCCCCAAAGAGTAAAGAGTTAAAAAGCTACAATTTGCCACTTTGTTGAAATTATTGCTGTTACTGTGTATAAATGTGTGTGTGAGTGTGTGTGTTCACAGAGGACAAGACTCAATCTTGGATGCTCTTCCTCAAGTGCTATCTACCTTGGTTTTTTGAGATGGGGTTGCTCACTGGCCTTGAACTCACTGACTAGGATGGACTGGCTGGCCTAAGAGACTGGCCTAACTCTGCCTTCCCTGTGATGACTTTTAAACACTGTGTGTACAGGTGCATGTGTGAATGTCAGAGGATAGAGCTCCAAGTCAGTTCTCTGTTGTCACCTTGAGGGACCAAGGGACTGAATTGAGTTATCATGTCTGTGTGTAGGTTTCTCCAGGCCCTGCTGAAACGGTTAGTTATCACCTGGGTCCCAGAGAAGAACCTGGACACTTGGTCTGGTGATGGGAACACCCTGATGAACACACAAAACACCTGCTGACAGATGCAAGCCCTAAGCCTGACCATGAGAGTCCCACCTGCATTCCTTTCAGAGCCGCAGAGCACAGCAAATCCCAACTTGGCTCTTAGCCACATTCATTTCCGTCTCCCATTAAAGTGCTTTTATAAGTGAAGTAAAATTAAAATACCCTCACGTTTGAGGTGCACACTAAGATTATTTCTTGTAACAGATTTTTCTGTCCTGAAACTAGGTATTACCACCTACTCAGTTTCCTCTTTCACTTCTTTTCTTTTTCCTCCCAAAGTCCAATTTCACTCTTCAACTACCTTCACCTGAAGTCATGCAGACCCTCACTGATTCAGATACTATCTCATGAAGGGCTGCATGAGTCTTGCACAGGAGAACTGTGAGTGTAGAAAGACAGTACTCCACCAACTTAACAACGAGAGGCACCAGAAACACAAATAAGAGTTACCTTGTCCATTTTCTTGAGGTTTATTTTTCTTCCAAAATTCCAATTCACGCTGAAGTTCTTCTAATTTGAAGGAAAAAAAATGAAAAGCATAGGAAGATGAAATCTTTAATAGAAATAGTGATCTCACAAAACACGAAAAGTCTGTAGAACCCAAAGGGCAACTTACGTTCTCGTAGTCCAGGTACCAGCTTAAATATAATCTCCTCCAGTGTATTATCCAACCTTCAGGGGTTGGGAGGATAAACAATGAAGATATCAAAATCCAATATGCAAACAGTTGAGATTTCTTACAAGTAAGTAGTAGTCCCAAAGCCCCCAGCCTTCTCTACATGTACACCCTCTGAACATGCCTTTGCTTGATCAAGAGGTAGAGCCCAGATGTCTGAAATTCACAATCCCAAGAATAGGGACTACACTGGAAAATTGCTTAGACCAAAAAGAATGTGGGACAAGTAACGCTGAGCTTGGACCTTGCCTAGGTCTTAAGAGGCCCTGCATTTCTTCTCCATGTTCAGCAAGTAGGGGAGTGCTCCACTGCCCTGCGGAGGCAGCCCTAGACCACCATGGTGGCAGATCCCAATACATGGCAGAACACAGTAGTTAACTGAATAAGCAGCAATGAGTAAAGCCAAGATTGCTCACTAACCCATTCCAATGGTAAAAAAGAAAGGAATGCTTGCCATCTGAAACATTAATTTAGAGGTGGTTTGTCATACAGCAATAGCTAACGTTCCCACTCTTCAAATCCCTACAGCACAGGTTCTTTTCTAAAAATGACTGTGCTCCATTTCATCTTCTGAAAAATGTGGACAGTTTGACTATTCTAGCTCCCTAGACACAAACTTATTTATCTCGGCATTTTTCTAGTTTTCTTTTCCTGATGATACATAACTGGCTCCATTTCTTCAGCCTATTCTGCTGCTTCTACAATACCTACTCCATTTTATTCTGCTTAACAGCGTTACTCTTCTCAGACATCAAACATCTAAAGAAGCAAAATCTTTTCCTTAACTTAAGCGTCTGTGAAAGCTATTTCTGGAGCAGCAGAGATGGCCCAGCAGTGTAGAGAACTTGATGCTCTTGCAGTGGACTGGAGGCCAGTTCCCAGCACCCACAATGGACGGCTCACAGCTGCCCCAACTCTAGCTCCAGATCTAATGCCTTCTTCTGGACTCTGCACATATCTGCTGTAGACACACCACAGACAGACAGACAGGCAGACAGACACACACACCTTTTTAAATCTTTCAACCTGAAAAACTTTGAAGCGTATAGCCTGTTATTTCTGTTACATACTCTTACTTGCTGCTTTTATCTTCCTGAACTCCCTGTCATTGATCCCTATGACCAGTATAGTGTCACAGCAATCTGGGTTCACACAAACTCCATGAAATTCCCTTTCCCTGTTTTAATTTGTTCCCCTGTCTGTTCTATGTGCCTAAATATTTTTCTTTATCCAACTAAAGTTATCCCCCAATGTTAAGGAGCAGGTTCCAGGACTCTTCAGACACCAAATCTGGATGGTCAAGTCCTTTATATAAAACACTTTAGGATGTCATATCTAATACACATCTTTCTATAGCTTCAAACCAGCTGGAGTCTGCATATAGTAATACAATGTGAATGCACTAGCTAATTTTTTCTTTGGGGATAATGACAATTGAATGCGCAGTACAGAAGCAATTTTTCTTGCAAATATATCTGATGGGAGCTTGGCCAAATCCACTGGAGACAGAACCCAGAGACACCGAGGGCTGAATATTCTGTGTTGCTCTCTGTATGTCATCTTCCTTCTTTCAGTTTTTTCCATGGGCCATGTTTCCAGGGTCCTCATCTATTTTTGTAGCTTGAAACTAACATGTGGGCAGTTGTTTGTCTCAAACCTTGGGTCTAGTCTGTATTTCCAACAGATGCTGAACAATTAATTCAGCCACCTCCTTTCACCCACGTATGTCAGGACTGTCTCATGAAACCTCTCCAGAGCAACACAGACTTCCCTTGGTTACCTCACTATTAAAGTCTGACATGATACTACAACACTCCCAAACAGGCTCAAAGTGAAAAGGACTGACTCTATTTTCTTCCACTTGATTGACACACTTTTCTCTGAGCCTTACTCTCAGCTACTTCTCGGTCTGTCTCCCACAAATTCTTTCTTAACCACCTTGCATCATCCTTCCATTCTTAGGGACCATCACCTGTCAGTTTCTTTTCTCCCAGAATGCATTTCTTTCCTACTATTGCCTTCCGATTATTTTATTACCAATACATTTATCCAATCTAGTTCACCTGCATCTGAAAATGACTCAATAGAAGTCAAGCTGAAAAGCCCAAGAGAATGTTATCATTTTAACTGAAGATATATTTCCTAACTATTACATAATCTTATTTCAAATTTTCATTAAAAGATGTAAAAATGAAGTAAAATGCATTAAAAAAACTGTAAAAGCCTGACTTATGTTCAAGTAGTGTAATAATTGATAAAGATTATAAATGTATACAGTTAAAATCAGACAAATTATGAAATATATATCTTTACCTCAACATTTCTAATGGATTTGTTTCATGAACTTGGTTGCCACACCTTGGACAATCATTGCTGTCTTCAAAGTGCTGGACAATACAGGTCTTACAGACTAAGAAGAGATAAGACAGTAGGTTAAAATTAAACTCTACAAACTGTGGGGATGTTTTATGATATAATAAATAAAGCTTGCCAGAAGATCAGACTGCAAAGCTAGCCACACTAGCTAGCCAAAGAGGCCAGGCAGTGGTGGTACACACCTTTAATCCGAGCACTTAGGAGACAGAGACAGACAGGTATCTGTGAGTTCAAGGCCACCATGAGCTACATAAAACTGATCAGTCTAAAAGATAAACAAAGCTCACACAATGATCTCAGCACTTGGGATCTCATACCTTTAATCCCAGCACTAGGGTGAAATATAAGGCAAGAGGAAATAGTAGCTCAAGGGGTCTGAGGAGTAGTATAGTCTGGAGATGCAATCTGAGGTTCACTGGATCACCCCTTTGGTCTAAAAATCATTGGTAGAGGTGAGAAACTTTAGTGGCTGGCTGCTTTACTTCTCTGATCTTTAGTTTTCACCCCAATATCTGTTTTTGGATTTTTATTATTCATGCTACAACAAACTTCTAAAATTATACCATCCAAATAAAGTATAACTAAAACCAAATCCCACTGTCACAATATCAAAAGAAAATTCCAATTTACTTATTGTTTCTATTAATATAAACTAAAGACACTCTACTCATAGCCCATTAAAAACTGGTCCATTTTAAATAAAAGTGTCTCATTTAAAGTATGACAGAGAAAGGTAAAAATTGCTGATTTTGCTTTTATTTCTTTTACTAAAAGTTTATCTGATTGCAATATAAACAGTTCTCAATAAAACTTGAAAGGCTGGACATGTAGCTCAGTGGTAAAGCATACCATGTCTGTGAGACCCTGGGTTTAATCCACAGTAATGGGAAATCAAAACTCTGGAGAGTTTTCAACATGTTTGGATTACTTATACCGCCAGGGTGGTTCCTGGGACAAAGCAGCGGTTATGACATAATTTCTGGGCCTTACAGAACATGATGAATTTGTGCACATAGGTGCCACAGTGTCACAAAGCATACTGCATAGGATATGGGTGTCATGGTGGCACAAAGGCACAAAAGGTGAAACTGGAAGAATGGCTGAGAAATGGACAAGGGAATTAGAAGATTCTAAATGAAGAATACAAGTTTGGAGCCATATGGCAACACAGCTCACATTTCCTCTGAACAGTACTGATCTCTGTGTCATGACTTCTTCCTATCTTTTACCTATGCTTATGTTATCCAGTAAGCAACTGCAAATTTTAGCAACTGAACTTTAAAACTGCAATCCAATTCCTACCCCAATAATTCCCTTTCTGATATAATTTCTCTATATCATCTCAAATTTTCTCTGGGTATAGACCTGCTACCCTTCCTTCATTTTACAACTGCTCCCATGCTACTCCTTTTCCTCTCCTTATATCCCACATGCTTTGACAGAAGTGAAGTTTATCTAAATGACTGGTCAGGAGCAAACATTAAGAGTCCTACCACTGAGATCAGGTCTGCAAACTCAGGCATATCACACACATTGCCTAGAGCAACAATAGGGAGAATTCTGCCAGTCATTTAATTTTAAAGTTACTTCGTATATATTGGAAATAAAATCACTTATTTAATTTCATTTTTCATTTATTTAAAGAACTGAATGCCAGGTATTATACTAGAAGCTGGCAATGCAGGAATGAACGACATAAACTCCCCTTCTTTAAAGAATGTATGTTATGCTTAGAACGGCATGTAAAATTTAATGGTAAGTGGTAGTCTTATCTTCCCTGCCCATAAGAAGGTAGAAGCAGAACCCTGGTGTCTGGCAGTTGTTCAGATGCAATGATCAGGGTGGGTCTCCTAAGAAGGTGCCATCTCAACACATCTGTGTGTGTGTGTGTGTGTTGCTTAATAAGGACACTTAAGTCCCATTCTATCTTTCTCTTTATTCTAACGGTCAAGGATAGTAATCTCTTCACTATAATTCTCCTGAAATCTAGATGAAAGACATCAGAAAACATGCTTAAAAACTAAGATGATAAAAGCAGTGCAATGTATAATATAGAAGTAAGTGTCTGTCTTGTTCTTCAAGATATCCTGATACCTAAAGAGTGCATACAATTTTTTGTTTATTTGGTACAGGGCCTCGTGTAGCCCAGGCTACAAATTTATTAATCTTGATCCTCCTGTTTCTAGCCCTCCAGTACTGGGATTACACATAAGCACTGCTGCACCTAGATTTCAAAAGTGTTCTCAAATGTTCGTTCAAAAGTCAAAATAATCTCTCACAGGGTCACCTTGTTAAAACAGAATTCCTTTAGAAAATTCCTGGTATGTATGTGCTCATTCCCCAGAGCCACTAGATAACTAAAATTTAAGGGGAAAAAAAGAGACAGATAAAAACAGGAATAAATGATTTTTGACAAAGCCTAATACGGCTAATACTGACCTGGAGCTCTGATTCTGGTGGTTCAAAAGTTTTATCACACTTAATGAATTCAGCAATCCATCGTTGTCTACCAACCTTGACCAAACACAGGTACATGCCATGCCCAGAGCAAATCCTCATTAGACTAGTCAAGACACTAAGTATAAGACCCTATCCTCCCAGGGACACCAATGTTAATCTAAATTATCTGATCAAAGAGACATAAGGCTGAAGCATCCAAAGGTACACAGAGTTCTAAAAATAAGGTGTGTGAGCTGCTTGTGGCCAAAGCAGCACCAGTACCAGAACACTGATGAGGAATACTTATCTAAATACTAGATCTGGATTATTCAATATGGTAGTCATTGGTCACATGCTGTTACAAGCACCTGAAATGTGGTTAATTTGAGATGTACTGCAATTATAAATACATTTAGATTTAAAATATTTAATATACAAATAATCTTAGTAATTTTTGTTATTACAAATGGGAATAACAATAACCTTGGATATATTGGGTTAAATATTAAAATTGTTTCTTTAAATGTGGCTATGAGATACTCTAATTTATACTATTTTGTGCAGATGGATGTTTTGTCTGCATGTATGTCTGTGTACATGTGTGCAGTGCTCTTGGAGGCCAGAGAAGGCCTTAGATCCCCTGGAACTGGAGTTATATATAGATGATTGTGAGCCAACATGTAGGTGCTGTCAACAAAACCTAGATCCCCTGGAAGAGCAGTCAGTGATCTTAAGCACTAAGCCGGCTCTTCAGCCCTGTATTAATACTAGATAATTTTAATTATATGTGTGAGCTACTTTTGGGGGGGGTGGTTAAGGACTAAATCCAGGGACTTGCTCATGGCAGGCAGGTGTTCCAATGTCCCCAACCTTGTTTAAAATTTGAGTTTGAGACCGAGTCTCAGTAGCTCAGAGAGGTCTTGAAGTTACTGTATGGTTGAGGCACATTATGAAACTCTCCTCACCTGCCTCAGCCACGGAGGAGCTGGGGCCACAGGCAGGAACCTCCAAGCCGATTGTGGATCACAGCTATTTCTACTGAGGACTATGGCTCTAAATGGGTAGAAACTCCCATAAGAAGTGGGTTTATTTTCCATAGGGACATTTGAGAATACTGTATTTTATTCATGTCGTCAAGTGAAAAACAAGAAGCTCCTGTGGGTCTTTTTCTATGAATGGCAGCACTAACACCTGAATGCAGGCTTCATGACATAGACTGACACATTTCTAGAGGTTAAGGCTCAAAACTAACCTTAAAAATAATTAAAATTTTAAAATAAGTTTAAAAAGAAAAATTTAAGATGTAGAACAACACACTGTTTTTATCCTAGTGTTCCTCAGTGTTCAAATTACTTGCTGGTGGCTGGATGGCTGTAATCATCAATTATGAAAGGAATTACATACTAGCCATCATCCTAAATATGTATGTATTTTCCAACTTCTATGTATAAATGTGAGTATCCAAATTGATAATCAATTCACTGGTTCTCAACCTTCCTAATGCTGCAAGCCTTTAATATGCAGTTCCTCGTGTTGTGGTGACCCCCCCCCCCCAGCATAAAACTATTTCATTGGTACTTTATAATTTTGGAGAGAAAGGTTTGCCAAAGGAGTTACAACCCACAGGTTGAGAATCACTAAATTAGATACATTAATACAATCTAATAATTTGTTTTTCACTGCAGCCCTATAAACTGGGTAGCAGTATCTGACCTCATACATGAAGAAAGTGAACAGAGGACAAACTGTCCAACATCATGACAGTAAATGGTGAAAGTGAGGATTTGAACTCAGAGTCTATTTCATAGCTAAGATATATCCGTACGATATATCTCTTGCTGCTAACTCTTTCCTACTGGTCTATAAAATATAGAATGAGACTACCTTATCCATTAATTTGGGGGTTGTATGTCAGCTGACTTGTAGAATTAGATCTCCTTTAGTATATTACATAAATAAAATGGTCTTTTCAAATAGTTTATTTATTCTTTTCTTTATAAAAACAAAACTCTAGGAAATATTCCTGCCTTCTTTTATAAGGTGCTAAATAATTACCATGTTTATATTACACAAATGAAAGCCTGAGGAAATCCAGGCCCAAACTTCAGTGACAATGGAAAACTGAAATGTCGAGATGGTTTCTAACGCTTAACAACTTCTCATCACTGGGAAACTGTCTGTGAGCTTCAGTCCAGGAACTGAAATCCAGACTAGCAACAGAGCACACCTAAAGGTACCTTATAGAGATGTTCAACTGCTCTTCTGGCTAACTTAACTGGCGTTTGGATGATGTTAAAAAGGCCCCAGTCTCTGGTAGGACTATGCATGGAGAGCACCAAGCCTTCCTCCTCACCAGCCACTTTAGAGATGTGGTTAAGCTGCATGAAACGGCTGGGGCAGAAGCAGTTCGGTTTCCCAGACACCCTAGGAGGAAAATCACCTCAATGACAAGACACCCTAGGAGGAAAATCACCTCAATGACAATGCTAAGCTTGCCGAGTCCTAGCAGATGCCAGGCTCTGGGCTCAGAGCTTTGTATGGACTACATTTCAGACTCTGGCCATGCTTCTCAACATACGAGCAATATACTAAAGA